CCCTGTGAAATAATGAGGAAAAAGCAGCTCTGGCCGATGTGGCCATCTAGGGAGTGAACCAGTGGATGGAAGACCACTCTCTCTGTCTCTACCTCTCTCTGTATTTATGTCTTTCAAATAAATAAAATAAATCTTTTTTAAAAAGTGCCAAGTTTGTTGTAAGAAACAGGGAGTTTCACTCTGTGGCATTTTCCCTCTTTGGGCTAGAAGATGGGTGTCATGAAGGACAAAGAAAGGGAAGGGGAACCAGTGAGACTTAGCATTTAAAACCTTAAGAAAGAAGGTTTGTAAGGGCTTCTGGTTATTGAACATTTACTCTTTGTGTGCACTACACTGATCTTTAGGAGTCTACTCTCTAATTTAACTTCCACATTGTGTGCAGAGCTGGAATTTATAAAATGATGACTAAGTCCTGTATGTAACATCAGAAATCACCAAGAACTGTTCTTGAAAACATATTAGACAGTGTTGTCCAGTGGAAAAACAAAAAGGAACTGAGCACGAAGAAGTAGATAGAATAATATTGATAATACAACTGGACCACTTCTGGTTGAAGTGATCTTAGAGAGAAAGAGTAGACCTCCTCTTCCGTCTCTCCCAACACACACTGTGCATGCACACACACACAATCAGAATGATGGACTCACTGGCTCCAAAGAAGCAAAGCACTGAGAGGGAAGGAGTAGCTGCATGTTTTTCGCTGGTTCACTATTGACCTTGTCAGAAACTCAGGATGAGACAAAATGAAGGTCTTCGCAAACTACCACTTTTGGGTAGGAGGCCCAGTTGCCTAAATTCTCTTGCAAGGGTCCATTTGAGTCTAGAAACTACCCTGCCAGCCAGAAGCTGTAAACTGGCCCTCTTAGCAGCCCTTCCTGTTTTTGTCCTAAGACTCATTGCCTGTGTTCAGGAATTTTTAAACCTTGCCCAGATTATGAATTTACATGTTGTTCTCTCTTTGTCTTCCTTACCCGCTCAAATAGTGACTGTTCCCCTCAAGCCCGATATAGATAAAACCAACATCCACCAAAAAGAGGGTATGAGGACATGGCCAAGAGTTTCTCAGTACTTTATTAGAAGAAAACCTGAGATCTGTTTATTTAACAAAGATTACTTGAGCAAGAAAAAGGGCTGTAGACCCAGGCAACATTCCACTGAAGATGGTTCAGAATGTTCCACCCACTATACCTACAGGTTAAATTTATAGACAGAGAAAAGGAAGTGACATACAGAAACATCCTGATTGGCTACATTTGTCTCAAATGGTTTTGTTCTGGCAGCTGTCAGTCACTGGTTGACTTGAAGTTCAACTGCTATGATTGGCTGACTCAGTTACCTGGTTACAAGACTATACTGTTAGGTTTACAACAGCCTGTATTCTCAGGTCACAATTTGATTAGTCATCAAGCTAGGTTTAGTTCCCTGTAAACAGAGACCACCTTGGGCCAAATGTATCATTTGAGTATGGAGGTCAGTTTAAGCCTCATTTATTTCAATTCAAGGACTTTAATTCACTATAACAAAAATCAGATGAGGCAAATAGGGCACAGATCAAGAGCCTAATGTTTGGAAAAGAAGGAATCTAGGGTGCATTTGAGTTCATTAGTTAAGAACAAAGTGTCAGCTATTTAGTTCTTCAACGAATAACAATCAAATACCCATTGAGGAGAAAAGTGAGCATTTTAGGACCAAATCATTAATTCAAAGAACATCAAGAAAACATAAAATGCACAACACCTTGATCTACTATGAAATAAATTTAGGGATGTAATTTTAAATGTTTCATAAAGAGGTCCACAAATCCAAGGGTATTAATATATGTGAACTTTTCACTAACTAGAAACAAACATTTATGTTGGATGAGCTACTCTTAAAAAACCATCTTCTCAGTTCTTGAAAATTTGTGTTGAGTGGAAGGGTATTTCCACTTCTCCAACTGCAAAAGCTGCATTTCTTTCAATATTAAGGTTAATGAGGGCTGGGGCCCTGTAATCTACATGAGTAGGTTAATTCTCATGTGTCCTAGATAGTTGAGAGAGAGATTTAGAACTTCAGCTGAAGAGACATGCACACACTGCCAAACCAGAAATGAATGCATGCCAAAGGAGCAAGGAAAGCACTCTGCAGAAGGTTCTCTGTCCCTCGCTTTTCCATCCTTAAAGAAGGGCCAAACATGACTCCTCCCTCCCCAGTGTGTGCCTGAGAGGCTCCAGTTTACTGCATTGAACGCTTCGGGAGATAAGCAGTTGTATGATCCAAGATTTCATTATATTATCGTAAGAGAAATATTACATCAAAAATTGACATTGCTGGGAGGACACACATGGCTTGAGTGTATTTTCCTAAGTCTGAGTATGGTTTGAGTTAACCTCATGTTCTGCTATCAAGGGTATGGATTTACAAAATACCATTAAAAATGTCTTCAACCACAAAGTCGAAAGTTCAAAGTTTCAAAACATTACAATTAAAAGAGATTATTCCAACCTGTTCATTTAAAGTAACATATTCTGCCCACAGGCAAAGGAATGTGACTTCTATCATGACTTCCTATTCAAGGCTGCCCTTGTCATTGTGATGATAAAGGGGAGGGCAAGACAAGGCAAGAAGGCCAAGGAGGTGAATAAGAGAAAACTGTTAACCTTCATAGCAAAGTCTTCACTTATCTTCCAAATATGTAGATATTTCCATTTTTGAAAAGTGGTTCAATGGACACAAAAATCATACATTTTTATTGGGTATCAAGTGATGTTTTGACCCATGTATACATTGTTTGATGTGCAAACAGGGTAAATATGCCTCTTCAAGCATTTAACAACTCTTTATGGGAAAACGTACAAAATCCTGTCTCCTAGTTTATTAATTTAAAGAGAAATATACAGCACACTAACTTTATCTATAGCCACCCTGCTGTACACTAGAAACCTAGAACTTTCTACTCCTATCTAGATATAATTGGTATGCATTCATTCTGTACAGTCTAACTCTGTGCTGGGCTCTGTACTAGAAAACAATGATTGTTTATTTTAAAAACAAGCAGAGGTAGATAAGAAATAGATAAGCAAACATTTTAATTGTGATAACTAAAAATCCCAGAACAGACAAAACTGACCTATAGTGACAGGGTTTCCTGGGATTAGGCATAGACAATTGCATTTGGAGGTGATAGATGTTATATAATTTTGACTGAGGTGAAAGTTATTGAGTATATACATTTGTCAAAACTCATTGGGTCACATGCTTAAAATGGGCACATTTTATTGTGTAAGTTACACCTCAATACAGTTAAAATTAAAAAGTAAAATAACTAAATAAAGGCAACAAGCTAAGATAATACAGGGGTGGAGGTGTGATGTGAATCCTGCTTAGATGGGGCCTCAAGAAGGCTTCTCTGTGTAAAAGAGATTTACTACTATAAAGGCTGTTACCTAAAATTTATGAGAGGTCATTGCTTCAGACTGATTTTCTGCCCTAGACCCAAAAGACCAGGTAGCACAAAAATTGAGTCATTCATGCTAAGTGCCACATAATCAACTTGAACTTGGAAATGAGCCAGTTTTCTAAAAAATCAGAAAATTCATAGCAACCTATCCGAAGAGGCTCAGGCAACCTGAATTGGTGTGATAAGAAAGTCCCCTCTGCTTTCACCCAAAAAAGAAAGAAGCTTTGCAATGACTAATGCAACCTCTGGTTCATTGTTTCTCCTTTCTTCAGCTATTTCTGCCTAAAAAGCCCACCTTCCCTGCTCAGCTCTTCAGAGCACCTTTCTGTATCACACATGGGATGTTGCCTGATTCATAATTACTAATAAAAGCCAATCAGGTCACTAAACTCAATTTGTTGAAATTTTGTTTTTTGACAAGAAGGGTGCCCAATGAGGAATCACACAGGCAAGTGTCTTAACTGTTTTCCTTACTTTTCTTGTAACAGAGGACAAAATTCATCATTTTTATTAAAACAAAGATCATAATTTCACTCTTCCCTGGAAAGCAGGTATATACAACTGATCAATCCACCAAAGTCCTTCTGGATGGTGGTACCAGGGAGAGATAGCAAGAGTATGCAGTTTCTTTTTTGAGGTGAAGACTGTGTTCTAAAATAGACTGTGGAAGTGGTTGTGCTTATCTGTAACTATACCAAAAATTAATGAGTTATATGGTATGTGAATTATACCTCAGTAAAGATTACTTTTAAAGGTAATATGATGGGGCCGGAGCTGTGGTGCAGAGAGTTAACGCCCTAGCCTGAGGCGCTGGCATCCCATATGGGCACCAGTTCTAGTCCTGGCTGCTCTTTTTCTGATCCAGCTCTCTGCTGTGGCCTGGGAAAGCAGTAAAGATGGCCCAAGTCCTTGGGCCCCTTCGCCCACGTGGGAGGTCCGGAGGAAAACTCCTGGCTCCTGGCTTCGGAAGGGCGCAGTTCCAGCCGTTGCAGCCACCTAGGGAGTGAACCAGAGGATGGAAGACTTCTCTGTCTCTACCTATACCTCTCTGTACCTCTGTCTTTCAAATAAATAAAAATAAATCTTTAAAAAAAAGTAATATGATGAACCAGATCAGGTTGGTAATTTTGGTCATTGAATAAAACAAAGTAAGGTAGTTTAAAAAAAATCCTTAATTTTGGCTTTCTTAGCTTCAAACACACATATTGAACCAACAAAATGTAACCAGAGTGGCTGCATATAGATTTTTTGTTTCATTAATAAGCCCCACTTACCCCCCCCCAATAAGGAATAAAATTACCCCATAATAGACTTCACATTTCTGATAGCATGGCACTTTGGACACCCTGAACAACTCTCCCAATTGAAATTAAAATTCTGGATAATATTTGTTATCTCAAATTATTTTTCAACTGGTATGAAATCACCACAGAGCCTTAAGGCAAAGCGAAATCCTGGGAAGATGAGAATTAGCTGAGGAAAATGTCAGAATAGGTTATGTTACACTTTGTGGTGACAAAGGCAGTCTTGGAGGGTAACATAACAATTGTTTATCTTTCAGTCATGCTTCATGTCTGTAGGAGCTTCTGGTCATTCTGCTCCTGTGGGGATGCACACTACTGGAGGCTTTGAAGCAACATGTGAGTGTTGAAATCTATTTTTAAAAAAATTTTTGACAGAGAGACAGAAACAGAACAGGTAGAGACGTCAGAAAGAGTCCCATCTGCTGGTTCACTCCCCAGATGCCTGCAATGCCTGAATTAGGCCGAGCTAAAGGCAGAATCCAGTAACTCAATCAGGTCTCCCACATAGATGGCATGGGCCAAACTATTTGAGCTATCACCTGCTGCTTCTCAGGGTGTATATTCACAGGAAGTTGGAATCGGTAGTAGGGCCATGACCTAAACCCAGGCACTCCAGTATGGAGTGTGGACATTTTTTTTTTTTTTTTTTGACAGGCACAGTTAGACAGCGAGAGAGAGGGAGACAGAGAGAGACAGAGACAGAGAGAAAGGTCTTCCTTCCGTTGGTTCACCCCGCAAATGGCTGCTACGGCCGGCATGCTGCACCGATCCGAAGCCAGGAGCCAGGTACTTCCTCCTGGTCTCCCATGCCGGTGCAGGGCCCAAGCACTTGGACCATCCTGGTGTGGACATCTTAACCACTAGGCAAAATGCTTGCCCCAGATTTTTTAGTCCTTATTTAATGTTTCATTATCTTACAGTTTGGCTATATATTCTATTTTTTATAACCTTCCTACTAAGATTTATATTTGGAGTAAATCCTCTAAATCAAGTTCTTTCTGAATCTCTCATCACTATCAACCTACAGTTTTCTTTTTAGAAACGGAGATCCTTTTACTATATTTCATTTATGGCACTCCCTTTTATGCATTAAAACCTAACCAGTTATTATAATACAATAGAATTGACACTCCAGGGTAATGGATAAAAAAGGGGACTGGCTACCCTTTACTGTAAAATTTAAACAATTTTAAAATAAGTTCCTGCAATTGGAGAGGAAACTCAAAGCAATGTGAAAAGTACATCCTACACTGAGAATTTAGAAAGCCAGTTTAGATTTTTTTTAAAGGGCATGGTAATTATTAATTGGACTCTAAACAACATTGCATGAAGCCATACTTCTTCCCCCTTCATGAAGCTAACAATCAATCTGTCCTTTGGAATGTGGAGGGGAATCTATATTCTTGACCTTTGGAGCAGATGCTACCTAAATTCTCTTGTTCTAGGATTCGACTATTCAATAAGGACATCTACCAGTTAAGCCATTCTGTACCCAATACCAGAATTCAATGTCTTTAAATGTCATTTCAATGGACCATTTACCTTCTCAGGAAATGCCATCAGCAGAAAACACATATTCACTCATATCAAATCCAGATTTCTACACTTGTCTCTCAAGATCTTGAGTGATATACATTCACATATATGCACATATGTATAATGTATAAAATATATACTAAAATATAAGTATATGTAGTTTAAAATTAACAATGATGATTACAGAGCGTTAATTAAGGCCTACTCTGTGCCAAAGCCTGAGAGTAATATCAACTATATCCTACTACATCCTCATAGCAACCTGGAAGGGCTGGTACTATCAACATTTGCGTCTTACAGGCCATTAATACAGCCCACCTGTTTTTCCAGATCCACTCTGTACTCCCTCTACCTACTCAACTCTCTCCACTGCCTTCTTGTCCCCAAAATCACTGTTTCTCCTAATTCAGCCCATCTTATCTTTCTCATAGAAAATTCTTAGCCACTTTTAAGAACCAGGGCAATCCCTATATTTGGGTGATGTCCTGTATCTTATATAAGACTGGAGCTGCATATGAATTACCTTGAAATCTGAATTTCCTTGAAAAAAACACAATCTTCTTCATTGCTTCTATCCAGCATTTAGCATAGCCTATTATTGCTGCAAAGGAAAGCCATCCCACTCTGTCCACACTTCTCTGCATCCTCACAGGGTCCCTAGTTCCGAACCACAGCATCTCCCACTTGCATCATTGGAAAAGTCCTGCAGTATTTTATTTGCCTCTGCTGTTGCTCCTCCAATCCAGTCTCCATCTGGCACGTGGAATGACCTTTTCTTTTTTTTTTTTATTTGACAGGTAGAGTTATAGACAGTGAGGGAGAGAGACAGAGAGGAAGGTCTTCCTTCCGTTGGTTCACTCCCCAAATGGCTGCTATGGCTGGCGCTGTGCTGATCCGAAGCCAGGAGCCAGGCGCTTCTTCCTGGTCTCCCATGCAGGTGCAGGAGCCCAAGCACTTGGGCTATCCTTCACTGCCCTCCCAGGCCACAGCAGAGAGCTGGACTAGAAGAGGAGCAACTGGGACTAGAACCCAGCACCCATATGGGGTGCCAGTGCCACAGGTAGAGGATTAAACAAGTGAGCCATGGCACTGGCCCCTCTTTTTTTTTTTTCTTTTTAAAGAATTATTGTATTTATTTGAAAGTCAGAGTTACACAGAGAGAGAAGGAGAGGCAGAGAGTGAGAGTGAGAGAAATGTCTTCCATTTTGCTGGTTCACTCCCCAAATGACCTCAAAGCCAGAGCTGAGCTGATCCAAAGCCAGGAGCCAAGAGCTTCTTCCAGGTCTCCCATGTGGGTGCAGGGGCCCAAGGACTTGGGCCATCTTCTACTGCTTTCACAGGCCATGGCAGAGAGCTGGATTGGAGGAGGAGCAGCTGGGACTAGAACCAGCGCCCATATGGGATGCCGGCGCTTCAGGCCAGGACTTTAACCTGCTGCACCACAGTACCAGCCCCAGAATGACCTTTCCTAATACAAGTTTTGGTGCAGCCATTTGATACATCAGTTAAGACACTGCTTGGGACACCTGTATCACATACCAGAGTGCCTAGGTTCATGTCTTGGTTCTGCTCTGGATTCCAACTTTCTGCTAAAACACTCCCTAGGAGCAATGAGTGACAGCTCAAGTACTTAGGTCCCTGTCACTCATGTCGGAGACTGATGGAGTGGCTCTGGCTTCAGTCAGGCTCAGACCTGGCTGCTGTAGGCATTTGGGGAGTGAACCAGCATATGGAAGATTCTCTGTCTCTGTCTCTCTCTCTCTCTCTGTCTCTCTCTCTCCGCCCCCCATACCAAATAAAACTAAAATGAGAATTTTTTGAGAATTAAAACACATGTTTTATATTCTTATGCTTCAGACCCTACAGTAGGGCTGGTGTTGTGGTGCAGCAGGTTCAGCTACCACTCACTATGCTACTCATTATACCATAATGGAGTGCCAATTTGAGTCCCAGCTGCACTTCTTCCTATCCAGCTCCCTGCTAAGTGTCTGGGAAAACAGCAGATTATGGCCCAACTGCCTGGGCCTGTGCCACCCATGTTGGAGACCTGGTGGAGTTCCAGGCTCCTCGCTTTGGCCTGACCCAGTCCTAGCTCTAGCTGTTGTGGCCATTTGGAGGTTGAACCAGTGAATGGAAGATCTCTGAATGCCTCTCTCTCTCTCTCGCTCTCTCGCTCTCTCACTCTCTCACTCTCTCCAACTCTGCCTTTCAAATACATAAATAATATTTTTTAAAATAAAAATAAACCCATTAGCAGGATCCATTACACTGAGAATAGGTTCTTACTGTGGTCCAAAGTTCCCATGTAACTGAGTTCAGCACCGCTGAGTCTTCCCTTTCGGCCTCCGTCACTTCCCAGCTACTTCATTGCGTGTGATATTTCCAGGGTCTGCACTGGCAAGAAGTTGGAGTCAGGAGCCAGAGTGGGCATGGAACCCAGGTTTCTTAACCGCTTCTTAAATGATAGGTCAAATACCTGCCTCTAATGCTGCCTTTCCAAAAAGGCATTTCCTGACAATCTTACCTAATTTGAATCTTCCTCTGTTATCAGAATCTTTTTGTTTGCCTGGTTGACTCAAGAATCTATCTTGTTATTCCCTCTGTGTGCTTTAATCGACCTCTATCTGTGACTTTGCCAACTTGGCTACTGCCTACCTGCCCTCTCGCTGACATGCACCAGACATGTGGATTTTAAGCCACATAAGTGCGGTGGCTCTTTTATCCCCAGTATCCAGCAGAAGGAGTTCAACAAGTATATGAAAGTATATCAAAAAGTTTGTGGAAAAATGAAATAAAAATATAGTCCACATTTTTCATAAATGTTTTGAGGAACCCTTGTGTGTTTGCTGGATCAGACAGTCAAAGAAATTGTGAATTCTTCCAACTAGAATTAACTTTTTTGATAGGATCATGGTCATTTGCTTCTTGTCCTGGAAGTGTGACAGGGCTTCAGAAACTCCCTGCTGGTGAATTAAATTCATGCTGAGAGTAGGTCTCCTGGTTTCCAGCCCCACTCGCTGCTATGAGACCCCCCAGGCTGCCGGCAAGGATGTGGAGCAGCCTCAGGAGTGTGTACTCCTATCTCTGTCATTTACTCTCAGCATGGCTTAGGGCAAGGGTTCTTCAGGTTTTAGTTTTCATCAGTAAAGTGAGTTAATTATTAAACCTTCCTTCATTGCTTTGCTCTGAAATTTAATTAGGTAATGTATTTGAAGGGCTTTGTTGGAGTGAAGTCATTGCTCCTCTCAAGTCCTTCTCAGGCTCTGTCAAATCAAATCAAACTCTTAAGCTGAAAGGTTGGAGTCTTCTAACAGTTGGTTCCTCCAAATACCATCCCTCTGTCCTGATCCAGCTCACTGGGGATGGCGTTGCACCAATGTGCAATGTGCAGACTCAGCCTTCCTGCACTCCAGAATATCAACCAGGCCCTGTGTGGGGATGGGATGATTTAGTCCCCAACCTGGCCAGACTCAGAGATTTCCCTAGAACTTTTTTGTTTTACATTTGCATGTATATTTGTTTTATTTGGAAGGCAGAGAGGCAGACAGAGATCTTTGATGTGCTGGTTCACTTCCCAGTGCCTGCAATGGCCACAGCTGGACCAGGACGAAGCCAGGAGCCTAGATCTCAACCCAGGTCTCCCATGTGGGTGGCAGGGACCCAAGTACTTGAGCCATCATGTGCTGCTTCCCAAGATGTATATCAGCAGGAAGGTAGATTGGAGTAGTCGGGAGTCGAAGCAGGCATTCTGATAGTGCCACTTAGCCACTGCACTAGACTCCTACTCCCCTTGAATTTCTGCCAGTACTATATGGAAAGGCACCTTTTTTTATCCCAGAGTAGGCCCAGCATATGGAGAAATCCTGAATTACTGTAAACCAAGGCTGCCATAACAGAGTGCCACAGACTGAATGGCTTCAACAACAGACACTTACTTTCTCATTTCTGAGGGCCGTAAGTCTGAGCACAAGGTATCAACAGGATTGATTTCTGGTGAGACCTCTTTCCTCGGCTTTCACACAACTGCCTTCTTGCTGTGTCCTCATGTGGCCTTTCCTCTGGGTGCACACTCCTGGTATCTCTTCCTCTTCTTATAAAGACGCTAGTTCTGTTGGATTAGGACTCATCCTCATGACCTCATTTAATTTTAATTGGCCCCTTCAAGGCCCTTTCTCCAAATATACTGGAGTCAGGAATTCAGCATATGAATTTTGTAGGAACACAATTTAAACCATAATAGAATCCACAGAAGAAATAGAAAAGTGGAGCCCCAGTAACATTGTTTTAGGCTCTGGGTATGGTAAATCAGCTCTACCTCTAAATATTGTTTTCATCAGTAATTTTCCTTTTCTAAACATATCTATACAATAACCATAGCTTGGATAAGGAAAATGAATAATGTCAGAAATTTCTAGTAGCATTTTTTTCATTATAGGTTGAGAAGAAATATAAAAATCAGATATAGGTTTTTTAACTTACATTTCACCCAAAGACATATTCATTGTAGACATCTTAACTATTTTATATATATGAAGGTGGATTAGAAAAAAAAAAAAAAACAACTAGAAACTAACCTGGGGCCGGCGCTGTGGCACAGTGGGTTAAAGCCCCAGCCTGCAGCGCCGGCATCCCATATGGACACCAGTTCGAGTCCTGGCTGCTCCAGTTCCTATCCAACTCTCTGCTATGGCCTGGGAAAGCAGTAGAAGATGGCCCAAGTCCTTGGGTCCCTGCACCCACGTGGGAGACCCAGAGGAAGCACCTGGCTCCTGGCTTCAGATCGGTGCAGCTCCGGCAGTTGTGGCCATCTGGGTGTGAACCAGTGGGATGGAAGACCTCTCTCTCTCTCTCTCTTGTCTCTACCTCTCTCTGTAATTCTTTCAAATAAATATTTTTGAAAGAAAGAAAGAAAGAGAGAGAGAGGGAGAGAGAGAGAGAGAGAAAGAGAGAGGGAGAGAGAGAGGGAGGGAGGGAGGGAGGGAGGAGGAAACTAAGCACAATTTTTAGAAGATTCAGGAGTCTTAATATCTTATATTCTAACATCAAAATAGAAAAGAGGAAACCTCAAAATTCCACAAGAATCGGTGTGTTATTATTTGTGATGCAAATATCAGAAGCTTAAGTAGGAATAACAATGTCCATTCTATTTCCATTAATACATGGAAACAACCACAGGTGCTATCACAACCAGTTGTCTACACTTGAAGCATTTGTACAGTATTCTAGGGTAAAATTAGTAATTCTATTCTCAGTTTGAGAGATGATAAAAAAAGAGGCACAGAGACTGGCTGAATAGTACCTCCCTATGTATGCCCCCAATCTGTCTCCTTGGCTGATACATAGCTTTTAAACCAGTCCATCTGTGCTACAGGATAGAATTGGAGAAAAAAGGAAAATCTACAACAAAGTTTACACTTTATCCAAAGAGAATGCTAGTAAACTGATTTGTTATTTTGCCTCTGTTTCAGAAAAGTCCTTCCATTTGTGCTAAATACCAAACTCTAAACCCTGAGCTCCTGAAACAGAAAATGTGCTTGGATCCCACTGTGTCCCCTGCCTCTATTGTCTTGGGAATATGCATATGGCATCACTTGTTTACTCCCTCTGTATATTGATTCCATTATCAAAAGGTAAAGTACAATAAATTCATTTAAGCACTCACATAAGCTCTAACAGTTCATGAGCAACTAATCTGAAAATGGAAATTTTTAAATTTAATTTTTTTTAATTTTTAATTTTATTTGAAAGGGAGGGAGGGAGGGTGGGGGAGAGAGAAAGAGAAGGAGAGAGAGAGAGAGAGATCTTCCATCTGCTGGTTTATTAGAGAGAGAGAAAGAGAGAGAGATCTTCCATCTGCTGGTTTATTCCCCAAGTTCCTGCAAAAACCAGGGCTGGGCCAGGCTGAAGCCAGGAGCCCAGAACTTAACCAGGTCTCCCAAGTGGGTGGCAAGGGCCCAAGTACTTCAGTCAGCATCTGCTACCATCCAGGGTCTGTGTTAGCAGGAAGCTGGATTGGAAGCAGGGAGCCAAGCCTTGATCCAGACACTACAATACAGGGTGCAGGCATCCCAAGCAGTGATTTATCTCCTGTGCCAAACACCCACCCTTGAAAATTAGAAATTTTGAGTTTTTGCAATCAGGTTAAAATTCACCTTTACAAGTAGATTTCCTAAAATTTACCAGCTCCTCTCAGCCCTCCTTGTGCCTTATATTTTGGGTTTTGCCCCCATTTCCTTCTGTTGAGATGCCTGCTCTTCTTACCCAATTCTTAACCATTTTCAAGACCCAGACCCATCCCTGTCTCCTTGAAGTCTCCCAGAGCTTGTGATATGTAGTGTATGTGAGCCCATCAAACATAGCACACATCTGGTTCTTTTGGACACTGTCCCGACCATTCCTCCTACCAGCAGGCAAAGTCCAGTTTGAAGCAAAATGAATATTGTGGCTTTTCCCTCCCCCTTACTCCCTCGGGACTTCATGCCACCCAAAACCCCAGTTCCAAGATTTCAAAGAAATAAAAAGGTTGAAGACTTTTGTCTCACAAATTAGTCATCAATTATGCAAAAATGTCTGATTCCTGCTGCCTCACACATATTTTGAACATGCACAGTGGTCTTGATTTATTTAAAGTAGGATGTGACTGGACCGTGGCTTTTGTGTTTCATGCATATCAGGAAGACAAGTGAAGAGTTAAAAGATTGAGAAACTAAACCAATTTATTTAAAATAGTCTTGGACTTTCTCATTACCAATATGTATGTGCTTTTCTGCAAAGTTACAAAAATGACTTGAATATCTGCTAAAGCAACAACTTTCGGTCATTTAGTCATTCATAGCCACTAATTTTAGTTGGCCGTTTCACTTCTTGATTATAGAGAATCAAACACGATTTACTTTTCAGATATGAAATATATTCACGATTCTGTTCCAAAGTATAAAAAAATTATCATTCTAACCCCCAGGTATATGTCCCACGGATTCATCTGATGAACTTTATGGTTCCATAATATTACAATGTCAAAGCAAACACTGGCCCCACCTCATGCTTACCCCAAAAAGAAATAGAAGCTTCTGTAGGTTGCAAGTCCTGGCCTGGTTTATTTATAAAGCAATAAATATAAGAAGCACAAACAAACTCCACGTGTGTAAACAAACTGTACAATGATTGATGAGAGATGGGGCAGGGGGTGGCTCGGAAGACTCCAAGAAGCATAATACTGTCATCCTGAACACAGGGTAGACTAGGAGAGAAGGCACCTTAGAAGCATTTGCGGTGGACAATGGATGGTCCTGCCTCATCATACTCTTGCTTGCTTATCCACATCTGCTGGAAGGTGGACAGAGAAGCCAGGATAGAGCCCCCAATCCAGACAGAGTATTTACGCTCGGGGGGAGCAATAATCTGCAGAAAGAAAACAGAAACTTCCAGTGAACTCTGTAGTTCTAAGCAACATAACAAGTAATCTGTTGGGAAGAGTCACAGAAAAAATATTAGAAATTCATTCACTGTGATGTGAGACACTTCACTCCAAAAAATAATGTGGCCAATCAAGTGTTAGGAACTTTCCTCTATTTCATCATTTCCATTATTAAACCTTCTACAAGGTAGAATTTCACCCACTTCTCTGAACTAGAGAATTGTATGACAGCAAGCTAAATGCAAGGATGGAGGTTACCCCAAAAGTTGGGGACTTCTAAAATGTTTAAAAGATTTAATTTTAAAAAAATATTTATTTTTAGTTGCTGCTTGAAAGCATTTAATTTAGAGTTTCCTGTCTAGGGAAAAGTGCTAGAAAAAAAATCAGAAAAAGTTCTTTAAAAGGTAAAGGGTAAAGTCTATTGGAGACAGGGAGGTAAGTGTGAGGGTAAAGGAATTAGGAATGAAGTTCTGCTTCAGAAGTCAAGATCTGCCTTGTCTCTCCTCCCCACAAAAGTCTTTACCTTAATCTTCATGGTGCTGGGAGCCAAGGCAGTGATTTCCTTTTGCATTCGATCAGCAATACCAGGGTACATGGTGGTGCCTCCAGATAAGACATTGTTGGCATACAGGTCTTTGCGAATGTCAATGTCACACTTCATGATGCTATTGTAAGTAGTTTCATGAATGCCAGCAGATTCCATACCTAGAAGCAAGTTTATTAAAAAAAAAAAATCACAGTACATTTAACACATTTAGGGTGGAGGAGAGAGAACAGGACTTCTCTTTGTTGCTAAGCTGTCACCATTTGTCTCTGAAACATATGTTCCCCTATAAGACACACTGGGGGGAACAGGTGGAACAAGTGTCTTTTAAAAGTGCTGGCAGATGATCCTCAAAAGACTACCAAGAAACTAAAGCTCTGTTTAGCATTTATTTGGAGTGAATACCTTCTGTAACCATCAGATGTGTGGAGATGTATTGGAAAATGACAAAACATACAGTTAAATTAAAAATAAGGGAATTTTTAATTTTCAGATTAAATCAGAGCCTGACAAGTTTCCTCTTAGAATCATCTCTAAGGAAAGATATTTGATGACATACTAGCATCCACTTATTAGGAGAAGGATTGCCATTGCATTTGATGATGATTCACTTAAAAGGCAAATTCCGCTACTTGGTAATGGAACTTATTGGAATAAATCAACTCTATGAGTAATTGTTCCTTTCCTGCAGACACGTGATATTCTGTTACTACTCCGTCTTGTCCCTTATTTTGAGATGAAGTCAGTGTGCCATCCTTTATTATATCACTGGAGCAGAACACAGACTTTCCATTTAATGAGCCAGCCGTACTTGAGGCTGAGCTGTGTGAGACTCCATGCTACGACTTCTTTTAACTCATGGATCCTTAATCCCTACTAACTATAGGAGATTTTATTCTAGGAGACCCCACGATTTTCTGTGCCTCTGTCCTAAACCCAGCAACTCACCAATGAAGGAGGGCTGGAAGAGTGTCTCAGGGCAGCGGAAGCGCTCGTTGCCAATAGTGATGACTTGGCCGTCAGGCAGTTCATAGCTCTTCTCCAGGGAGGAGGAGGAGGCAGCTGTGGCCATCTCATTCTCAAAATCCAGGGCAACATAACACAGCTTCTCTTTAATGTCACGGACAATTTCACGTTCAGCTGCAGAAATAAAGGGCATCACTGTCAAGCTCTGAAGAAAGAGAGTCAATTGTGGGGAGGAAGGTGGATTCACTGAGGGAGGAAAAAAAAGCAGAGACATGCTGTGGCAGATGAGACACACACACACACACACTCACCAGTGGTGACAAAAGAGTAGCCACGCTCCGTGAGGATCTTCATGAGATAGTCAGTGAGATCCCGACCAGCCAGATCCAAACGCATGATGGCATGGGGCAAAGCATAGCCCTCATAGATGGGGACGTTGTGAGTTACACCATCCCCAGAGTCCAGAACAATGCCTGTCATGGGAAATGGAACAAGGGAAGTCCCTAAGGACCACTGCTTTTAGTCACGGCAAAGTCTGATTCTAGTCTTTACTGAGGGATACTAGTGCTGGCACGAATCCAAATAAATTAGATCTTTTACACAAGAATAACGAGAATAAGCATAAGTTGATACTAAAACTGAAGTCAACAGCAGCTCTTCCTTTTAAAGATTATAGTAGAAAAATGTCCCAAGGACACTTTCAAGTGACTATCCCTCTTATTAGCCATTAGCACATGATGCAAGCCTCCTGGGAAGATTTCTTAGTTTTCATCTAATGTACACCTGTCCCTCCCTTTCCAGATCCTGTAGAGAATCTTGGGGGTGTTTGCCCAGGGGATGAGACTGTGACTGCTGCACTGGTCCTTGTATTGTGCTGAACCTCGATATGTTAACATCAGACACTTTAGTTAGGGAACGCTCGTAACTCCAGCCGCTGTCAACTCTTACAGTAAGTGTGCTCAGAAATGTACCTTGGGGGTACCACTGTTCTCTCTCTCAACACAGATACCCTGCTAGAGAGAGTGACTGAAGGGATGATGCCTTTCTCATTTGGGGAATCTGATTCACAGTGAGAAAGTGATTCACTGGTGACTGCCTCACAACCCAAGCATACCTGTGGTACGGCCAGAAGCATACAGGGACAGCACTGCCTGGATGGCCACATACATGGCAGGGACATTGAAGGTCTCAAACATGATCTGAGTCATCTTCTCGCGGTTGGCTTTGGGGTTCAGTGGGGCCTCCGTGAGCAGGGTTGGGTGCTCCTCTGGGGCCACACGGAGCTCATTGTAGAATGTGTGGTGCCAGATCTTCTCCATGTCATCCCAGTTGGTGATGATGCCATGCTCGATTGGGTACTTCAGAGTCAGGATACCTCGCTTGCTCTGTGCTTCATCACCTACATAGGAGTCCTTCTGACCCATACCCACCATGACTCCCTGCAAGAAGAAGATGGGCAAGTCATGCATCCACCATCTCAGGAATGCACTCAATGCCCTATCAATTTAGATTGAACTCCACAAGTCAAGGAAAAATTTTTAAGTGCCAGAAATATTAAACAATAGGATTTTACCTCAGTTTAGAAGAATCACCTAAAATCAATCATACCTTCACTCCTCCCCCCAAGAGGGAGTAATTCTATTGTTTAGAATACAGTGGGGGAATATAGAAGCTATGTCATTGAAGCAGAACCTCATCTCATTTTTAAAAATCACAATGCCTTCATTTACTTATTGAGCTCATCACCCAATGTCAGCCAAAATGCAGATGACTGCATTTTGAAATGACTGAATGAATGACACATTGTTTTCCTCCCAAGAAAGATCCTGACATTTGTCAAGTGAACATGAAAATGGTTGATATGCCATTATCACCTTGACGGTGGAATGCAGCCCATGCAAAGCTGTCCTACACTAGCCTTCATTCATTGCTGGTTACTACAGATCTTGTCGCTGGCAGCATGTCTGGCCACAGAGCACTGCATTACTTTTAATAAACAAGGTGGTATGTCACTATCACCATGGCACTTACTGCCTCTGTCACGCCTGCCTTCTAAAAATGCAACAGCCAGGAAGGAGCTAGATGGCATTTTGGGGGCGACCTGTAAATGGGCTGTGAAGTGGGAGGAACGCGGGTTGGAGCCCAGTTGGTTCAGAGCAGCTCTATTATTTGATTTTTTTGAACAGGACTGGGAAGGAGGAAGATGGAAAAATGCAAAGTGCATGGGGTACAGAAGACCTGAAGACTGAACCTCTAGACGGAGTGCAGAGAAGCTGGCGCTTCTCAGCTTTCCCCAGGAGGCCGCTGAGAAAGGGTGCACTGCTTGGTATGTTGGGGTTCTGTACAGGGTACTGCTTGTCTTGGCTTGGGTTTGACGCTATCCTGTCTTTTCCTTAAAGAGTGCATGAAAACAGTTGGGTCAGGTGAGACATTTCCTAGACCTGGAAAGAGGAAGTGGCAGGAAGGAGCGCAGAGAGGGCCTGGGGGCTGCCGCAGGTGGGAGCAGGGTCGGAGGGGCAGGAGATGTACCTGGTGACGCGGGCGGCCCACGATGGAAGGGAAGACAGCGCGGGGCGCGTCATCGCCCGCAAAGCCGGCCTTCACCAGCCCAGAGCCGTTGTCGCACACCAGGGCGGTGGTCTCCTCGTCGTCACACATCTTGGTACAGCGTCAGCGGGGTCTGCAGGTGGAGAAGGGAGGGTGGGCCAGGTTCAGTGCCTGCGGAGCTGGCCTCTGTACCAGGAGGGGACAGAGCAAAGGGGGCTGGGTGGGGGGAGAGGTGGAGACGCCTGCCATCTCCCTTTCCCCTCGAGGCATAAAAAGAAGGCCGAGAAGATGCCGTGGAGGAGATGAGGGGAGCGGGTGCGAGGAGCAGGGGAGAATCCCCCAGGCTCTCCAGCCAGGAATCGCACCTCTGTCCCAGGTGCAAGGAGGGACCGCTCAGCGTCCAGGAGACCCATCCCTTTAGCAGATCTCCCCTTGCTCTTTAATTGCTCTCCTTTAACCAGGAAACCATTCTCTGGCCCTATCCACACCCCCGAACCTGTGCTCCAAATGAAGGGGAAAGCAAGGACCCCAGAGACCCCTTCCGCGCGCTCCTCTCCCGCGGGGACCGAGTCCCGGACGAAACAAGTCAGAACAGGTCGGTGCCAGAGTGGCGAGAGCTCAGGGCCTCGGCCGAGGGTGGCCCGTGGCTGGCTGGGCCCGCCTGAGAGGCTGGGGTCCGGCAGGGCTGTGGCGCTGGGCTGGGAGGACGGGCGCAGGGGCGGGCGCTGACTCACCGTCCGCGGCTCGGCTGGGCTCGGCTCGGCTCGGCAGGCGGCAGGCGGCAGGCGGTGGGTGCCGAGCGCCCGGAGCGCCGCTTTATAGCGCGCTGATGGACGGGGTCAGTTGGAGCAGCCGGGGGCAGGGGTGGGGGGCCCAGACTGCCACCTTGCCTTATTTGGTCGCCTTCACACCATCTAGGACCGCCGAGGCCATTCATGGAGCCAAGGGCAGGGGAGAGGATCAGCGGGGGGCTCCCAGACCATGTAAGGAAGGGGAGGGGGCAGCCAGGGGGATGGCCAAATAGGGAGCTAGGGAGGGGTGCGGGCGAAGGGTAGGGGGCAGGGGAAGACTAAGTGACGCCAACCCACCCCCTCTCTCTTCCTGAGGTGGGGGTGCGCCCTGATGTGCTGTGGATTTGTCCCTCGGCATCCCCGCCAGCCTAAGGGACAATAAGCCACATGCGAGCGGGAAGGCTTGGCGCCTTGCCCTCAGCTGAGGGGTCCTGGCAGCTGGGCCCCAAGCAACAGGGGAGCGACAGCAGCTTCTCATCTTCCAGGACTCTGTGCTGGAGGAGCAGAGCCCTGGCAGTCCTCAGAGGTACAAAGGACACCGTGCAGCACATTTGTGTGTTTGGGACAAGGCACCCTTTGGTCCTCCTCCCTGCCAGCCCCTAAGTCTGACAGCAGAGATCAGCCAAGGCCACCTTGGTCCCAACCCATGCACAGGTCAAGGGCTGGCAAGGAAGAGACTGAGGGGTTGCTGTGAGGGCTCCCCCAGGTCTTGCTGAAGAGGAGGCCAGCTTGACCCCAGTCCAGATGTCAAGTCACCTGCATTCATGCTGCTAGGCATTTGCACAAACTCAACCTCAGGGCTTTGGTCGGAATGGAGCACCCTGGTGAATGAAAGAACAGAGGCCCAAAGGCCCTAAGGCACTTGCTGATGGGTCTTTAATCCTGGGGCAAAGTCTTCACTCCAGGTAGATGCAAGACTGGAGAAGCACTCTTGTCGAGAAGAGAGCAGCAAATCAAACCATACATACCAACAGTTGTTAGCCGAAGTGCATGATGTTGGCCTAACCAGGCTGGGGGTGGGGGGTGAGGGTGGGGGTGACTTTGAAATGCAGAGGCTCAGGCCCCACCCAGATCATTGCACCTGGATCTGCTTTTTCAGCAAAATCCTTCTTTGATTGGTAGGCACAGTGAAGTGTGAGTGGCACTGCTATAAATGGTTGATATCATTTCCTTTGTGGAAATCAGGTTTGGGAAGAACCTTGGGACTTTGGAGAAAGACAGTGAAAGATGGCGTGAAGTGAGGACAGGGAAGGAGCTGGGAGGCACACAGCACCCTCGCCTGCCCTGGGCTGCCCTGCAATCTTGATTCTTTCCTGGCACTGGGATTTTGAACGCTTGTGTTTTTCTCTAGTTCACACCAGTTAAAAATAGAAACCTGACCCAGGCAGCCCTCTCTGCAGTGGTCCCGGATTGATAGGCTGAGAAGGCGTGCTGATTAGATACTTGTCCAGCCCGGGGAATGCTGGGCCCTCCCCTCCAAGTTCCCAACCATGTTTGGGTTGGTGTGGAGAAGAAACCGCGGGGGCCACTGGGTGATGAAGCCAGGTGAGAGGCCTGCCTGGGATGGCGCCCTGCCACACAGTGGGCATTCCGCAGTGAAAGCTGCCTATTGACAGAATGCAAAAGCAGAACTGCCTTGACTCAGGCTGATGCAGAGGAACCAAAGAAAGGGAGAAATGAGGCCAGTGTTAGAGCCAGACAGCTGTGGCTTCTAGCCCTGCCTCCTGTCACTTACTACTTCTATCTATTTGGTCTGGAGCCCCAATTTTCCTCTCTGAAAATGGACACAATACCTTTTTTGTCGAGAAGAGAGCAGCAAATCAAACCATACATACCAACAGTTGTTACCCGACGTGCGTGATGTCGGCCTAACCAGGCTGGGGGTGGGGAGTGAGGGTGGCACCTCATAGTCACCCAAAAGGAAAGAGGGTATGAAAGAGAATTCAGTGAAAGCCTTCCTGGTAAAGTGTCATCTAATGGTTTTTCAGGAAGAGTAAAACTGAAGTTCATGCACAATTGTAAGAGAAAGACAGTTTCTTCTTGGGAGTGGTAGATGGGAGATGCCTACGTTCATTGTCAAGGTACAAAAGCTCCAGAGACCTGAACACTGTGATCACTGCCTTAATCCTTGGCAAGTACCTGCCAGGGCACAGGAGGCTAATTCCAGCCCACCCACCCAGGGATGGGTTGGTCAGTGGAGTAGTGACACCAACTTTGTAAAAGCAATATTCACCCTAAAATTTTTTAAAGTAATTTCTATTTTATTCAATTTCATTTTTACCTTTCAAACCAAAGTATATTTTCATTTGCATTTTACAGTAAGAAAGAACACTTTTTCCCTTTAAAGATTTTTTTAAGATGTATTTATTTATTTGAAAGAGTTACACAGAGAGAGAAGGAGAGGCAGAGAGAGAGAGAGAGAGAGAGAGAGAGAGAGAGATTGGCTGCAATGGCCGGAGTGCACCCATCTGAAGCCAGAAGCCAGGAGCTTCTTCTGGGTCTCCTACATGGGTGCAGGGTTCCAAGCATGTGGACCATCCTCTTTCTTTCCCAGGTCATAGCAGAGAGCTGGATCAGAAGTGGAGCAGCTGGGACACGAACCAGCACCCATATGGGATGCCGGCACTGCAGGCGGCAGCTTCACCCACTATACCACAGTGCTGGTCCCTCCTTTTAAAGATTTATAATTATTCTATATTTGCTATTTGTATTAATAGCAAATTTCCATATTTGAACAACTTTGAATTCTGTGTTATATTTAAAATATAATCAATGGTTCATCAAAGAAGGATGTACTTTTCTGTGAAGGGAGGAGAGAATTTCCACTTTGCTTATGGCCATGTCTAAACACTGACGGAGTTTGAGGACTCAAAAGGCTTCCATGGCCTTGGCAGCTCACTGACGTCATAAATAAGAGTGTCAGTTGTTAAATCAACAACAGGAGTCACTGAGCACGTACTCCCCATGTAGGACCTCTGTCCTTAATGAGTTGTACTATGAGAATTAACGGTAAAACTTGTCTTCAAAAGTACTTTATACTTTGTGTGTCTGTGTGGGTGCAGACTGTTGAAATCTTTACTTAGTATAGAGTTGATCTTCTGTATATAAAGGTAATTAAAAATGAATCTTAATGAAGAATGGAATGGGAGAAGGAGTAGGAGGTGGAACGAGAGTAGGGGTGGGAGGGCAGGTATGGGGAGAAGAACCACTATATTCCTAAAGCTGTACCTGTGAAATTTGTATTCATTAAATAAAAGCTTTCTAAAAAAAAAGCACACACACGAAATATAATCAATGGTAACCTGAGATACCATGGCTGATTTTCATTGAACAACATTTTTCAGGAATCTATTTAATTTGAAAATTGAGGTTGGCTTCTGTCCCATCTACTTACAAAAATAACTTATTCATTTCTATTGATGTGATTTAGATATTCTTTTTTAAAAAAAATTGTGGTAAATGAAGCATAATATCAACTTAGCATTTAAAAGTATACAGTTGATCAGTGGATAATTAATCTCCCAATTTTATGCTTAGTGCTAATTATGACTAAATTGATTTCCAGACCCAGACATGACTGCATCGTGCCTATTGAGAAAGATTGGTTCGCATCCTATGAGGTAAGCAACCACTGGGCCTGTTTGCCTAAGTCACACAGATGAGTCAGCTATGGAGTGAGAATTCAAACCCAGGTCCTGACTTCATGCCCTGCTCCTAACCACCCTCCAAAATGCCTTCCGGTCTACTTGGACTGCTAGTTTTCCGTATGACACTAGAACCACGTGTAGTAGGCACATTACCTTGGCTGCTAACAGAAGTTCAGACACCTCAGGGTTCCTGCCTAAAGACTGAACCTGTCTTTTAAATGAGCCCTTACCCTTCTTTATCAGGTAAGTTTCTCCACTGTGGAGAGACTTAGTGGCACTGCCCGGCTATTCTTCCCAAAGCTCGCGGAGCTTAGTTGGATGCTGCCCAAGCTGCCAGTGCTGG